TCCTCCTCGTCTTCCTCCTCGTCTTCCTCCTCGTCCTTGTCCTCCCGCACGCCCGCCGGGCCCCCGCCGCCGCCCCCGCCCATTCGGAACGGACACTCCTCCATCTCGACGCCCTCAAAGTCCATCTTGGGTGAGTCGTCCGGCATAGCTTGGCGCCCCCCCCCCGCCGCGAGGGTGACGAGGGCTCCTTTTGCTTTCCCCCGCTCTAGATGATTTTGAATCCAAGTTCAACTTCCACCCCATGGAGGACCTGCCGCCTCCTGAGGAGTATCGCCATTTCAACAAGGTCTACCCCAGCAAGAGTGGCAAGGGTAAGCGCGAGATGACCTTTATTTGTCCCACGCTGGGGGAAATCCGCAAATTCTCCAGTTGGATATGCGCATCGCACACTTGTTGTCATTTTCTCCATATTCATTTGTCGTTGTATGTTCATGGTGTCCATTTTAAAATGTGTGGATTTTTTTTTTTGTCCCTGGGGGGTTATGGTTTTTTTTTTTTCTGCCCCTCCCCCCCCCCAGGCATTTTGCGAGGAGCGCCCCCTGCTCCTCCAGTGGGAAGGTGAGCTCACCTCAAAAGCTTAGCACTTGAACTCGATCAGCCAGGCGTCTGGTCTGTTCTGGTGTGGTCGGGGGGATGAGGAGGTCCGCATGCGCACGCACGCACACACACACACACACACACAAAGCACCAGCCATGTGGACTTGAACAGAAGAGAAGACGCCTCATGAGACTTTTTGACTTTTGCATTTCTTTTCACATTTGAGGACCAAAAAAGAAAAAAAAAACTCCACAACTGCACATTCCCTCTTTGGACAGATTTACTACTACTAATTTTTGTTGTTCTTTCTTTTGTCGGGTGCCAGCATTGATCTTTAATGGGACACACCCACACATGATCGTGCATGAATGTGGGCTTTTACATTTTTAAAAAAAAATTTTTTTTTTTTGTTCAATCCCTTCTTGATTTTGTTGGGAGTCGCTCTAGGGTGCGCTTGAAACGAACGACCCCATCCATGTGCCAAAGGCGGGTGGAGCTTAATTGAAGCCCGTCCAAAAACAGTCAGTTGACGGATGTCTCATCTGCTTGTTGAGCTGCACTTTCCGAGCGGTGTTGGGGGCTCATTTTTGGGGGGATAGAGGAGGTTCGTTCCTGTTTTCAGGACCTGTCTTCTGCTCTTCTTAACGGTAGTGGAGGGAGAGGGGGGTGTGGGGGGGACTTGTAATCCTGTTTTCATGTTGCACATGGGCCAGCAGAGACGCGTGGCACCCGTTTTTTTTTTTTTTTTTAATTGCGGGACCCGGAAAAAATGCGTTTACTGG